CCATTCAAACCGCTGAGTGGACGACCTTTGGCTGCGCAAGTTTAGGGAGCTTAGCGCCGTCACCTCGGCTGCCGAGCCGGGAAATCAAATTCAACCTTCACCCTTTTGGATTTAAAGTCCACGCGTGCTAACCATTAAACCGCATTTAGGATTCTGGTCAGCATTGGTTTCCGGTCATCCTATGCAAATTTTGTGTTGGTTGTCCACTTGCGAAACGGCAAAAAAAAACAACGGCACCCTGGGCCTTCGAAATCACTTTATAACTGTTGATGTTATTAGTGCGAAATTGCACAGGTGAAGAAGGCCGTGGTTTTTCCCACCCCCAGTATAAATTCTTTAGCCAAGGTCACAGCTAAATAAACAGCGGTCTGTTTTTTTTCGTGCGTTCTGCAGAGGGGGGGGGGGCGGCGGGAGGTGGGGGGGTCACGTGAATATTTTGGTGGCGCATTCCTCTGCGAGTTGTCCCGTCTTGCCTACAAGTGTCTCTGTGTGTGTTCATCGGAATGCTCTTTTGCTTATCATTCTTCCTCACACTTCGATTTGCCCTCTTTATCGAGGCCCTATTTACCTGTCTTTGTTTTCAGCTTCTCTCTACGCTTGTTTAATCTCTGTTCGCTGAATAATAATAATAGCAAAAAATGTTGTTCCGTATAGCGTCGTGCTAATTGCATTTCACGGTGCTGTACAATTCCTATATAAGGGGATACATACTACTTTTCGGAAATTATTAAGGAAATGAAAACCCTCCGAAAACGAAACAATAATGAACTATCAAGAAATGACATGAAAGCAAAAAGGTGTGTATATATATTAAAATATTTTTGCGTTGTCACAACAGCAATGAGTCCACTCAATTGCATCCCAGAGAACAAACCCAATTTCTCACACAAGCCAAGGATCCTTCACAGGAGGGGTGATGATCTTCTTTCATTCGTTTGGCAATCATTCATTAATTCCTTCGTCGCTGTACTCGCGTGGAGTTCGAAGAGACTGAAAACTGACCGGAACGCTCTCTCTAGCTCTCACGCTCCCTCGCGCTCTCTCTCGCTCTCTTTCGCTCTCTCTCGCTCTCTCTCGCTCCCTCGTGCTCCCTCTCGCTCTCTCTCTCCCACGAACTTTGAAGTTGCAATTAAGTTGTAACGTGCCAAGGAAGTGGTGTCGATGCGATCGCGGAGAGGAGAGGGTCGCAGTGGGGGTGGGACAGGTGTACGGGGATGAGAGGGGGGAGGGTGGTTCACCGTCGCAGGCATCCAAGTGAGGTCAGAGGTCAGGCGGGAAAAGTTTAAAGCCAGACGGTGGCGTTCATGAGGCCACGAGGGGCAGGTGTAGAATGCAAAGTGGCAGGTTTACACAAACTGAAGAACCTAGCACAAGGAAGGAAGTGATGGCTATGCGCGGCACTTTTTAACACCGTTGGTTGTGACGATCTCTGGAACTTATTCAATCACTTGGTTCTTCCCTCCGTCTACTAAATGTTAAATCAAGAAGTCAAAGGCAGAGTGATTTCCTGCTTAAATGAGCATTCAGGCGGCGCTCATCTTCTGCGCACGGCCTTGAGCCAGTGGTGGAAATTCCACGTTCCTATGGCGGGGGGCGAGTACTTCCGTAGGGCAGCCATAGGACAGACCCTGGAGGGACGATGGGCTGAGTCAAACCCCCGACGAGGATGCGAACTCGCAAACCTTCCTCCTGCGAGCCGCTTGCTCTACGGCTGAGTCACCTGGCCAGCCACTGCAACGCGTAGCAGGTGCAATAAATGTTTTCTCCTCTGCAGTCGAATCACGGGCACCTCATCAATGCTCATTGGAGCAAGAAATCGCCTCTGACTTTTTAATTTCGACGAAACGTTTTGCTTCGTTTCCCTTCCCCCCCGGGGGGGGGGGGGGGCGGCTGCTGCTGTTGTTGCTGTTTCTGCTGCTGTTGCTGCTGTTGTTGCTATTGCTGCTGCTGCTATTGTTACTGCTACTGCTAGTATTACTGTTGCTGCTGTTGCTGCTGCTGTTTCTGCTGTTCTGCTGTTGCTGCTGCTATTGTTACTGCTGCTGTTGCTGCTGTTGCTGCTACTGCTGCTGTTGCTGCTGTTGCTGCTGCTACTGTTGCTATTTCTGCTGTTAATGCTGTTCTGCTGCTATTGTTACTGCTGTTGCTGCTGCCGCCGCCGCTGCTGCTGTTACAGCAAGGCCCTCATGGCAGCTGTGGGGCTTAGCGGAGAGCGCTTAATTACGTGCGGGGGGAGGGAGGGATTGCAATGCACGTCCCTCGCACGGCCGCCGTAATCTCCACCTCTCCACGTCCTCCGCCACCCCCGCCAAAGCTGCACGGTCGTGTCAAAACAAAGCGTTCTCGACGCACCGCACCGATTCTGGGGAAGGGAACGCGGGAGGTTTTTTCTTTTCGTTCATTCATTCAATACGCTCCCTATTATTGAGAGAGTGTTTGCAATTAGCGACTCAAAGCAGAGCGGCGCCCTCCGCGGTCCACTTCTCTGTTGGGTCGGATTGCTTCTTTGCCCCCTTTCGCTTGGCCGTGTATGTGTGTTTTTTTTTCCATTTCGCAGGGAGATGGGGCGAAACAGAACGGCCGCTAGCTAAACTACAAAAACACAACAGCCCCCTCCGCGTTTCTTTCCTCGTCTTTGACGTCGCGTGAGATTTTCAACAACGGATTTTTTTGTTTGATGGATATTCCCCCCCGGGGGGCTTTTTTGACGCGGAATCTCGCAAGAGTCTTAGCGGATTAAATTTTTTTTTAATTACTGTGATTATTATCGTCGTGCAACTTGTGCATATTTTTGGAAATGTATGAACAATGGGGCGGGAGTTTAAAAGTTGCATTGTACGCGCGCGTTATTGATGTTGTGCACGTGCTGTTGCGCCCGGGAAGGCGACGATGTGGCGAGGGCGACGCTCCAGCACCGTCTGTCAATGCCGCGTTGCTGGCATTGTGCTGTCTGTTTTTCTTTCTGATTGTCGAGTTTTACAGTGGGGCTCTCTGTCTCTCTCTCTCTCCCTGTGTTGCCACATCCTCCTCTCTCAAAAGAAGTCGGCGAGCGTGATATTCCTTTCATTCAGCTCTGTCTGTGTATGTGTTTATGTATGTGGGGAGCGGTAGTGTAGCGGTTAGCGCGCTGCGCTGTGAACCCGGCGACCCGAGTTTCGGGGAAATACAACAAACTAAACGCGCAAAGAAATGAGGTGTCAATATTGATTTAAAACTCATTGATATATATTTATAGATTTGAAGCTTTCGTGACTGCAAGGATTCATACTCTTAGGTTTTTTTGCCGTAAAGTCACGTAGTTAAAAATAAATAATAAAAATCATTAATAAAAATAATAGAAATAAAATACAAAATCACGACCTTTCGGAGGCAACACAAGTCTCTGTCATCAGGTGGGACCGTCACAGCTAAAATTGACTGTATCAAGTGCTAAATTTTACCGTATCAAGTGATACAGTAAATTTGAGCTGTGACGGTCCCACCTGATGACGGAGCCTTGTGTTGCCTCCGAAACGTCGTGATTTATTATTTTATTTCTATTATTATTTCTATTATTTTTATTATTTATTTTCATTGATATATACTCAAGAAATTTACATTAGATAGCCCCCCCCAGTTGCATCCAAACGTTTCACATTGCCTACGTGACTCTTTCCCCTGCCGGCCTCTTAAGCAACCTGCAATATTCCCGGCCCGGCGCCGTGGTCTGAGCACGCAAATCCACGGAGCGAAAAAGTTTGAATTCCAGAGAAGAATCGCCGCTCCCCGTGGGTCCGTCCGCCGCTGGCCTCCGCCGCGGGAAAGTGGCGCTCTCACTGCCAGGGGTCATTGTCCACCTAGATTTGAAGCTTTCGTGACTGCAAGAATTCATATTCGAAGGTTTTCGGTAAAGTCACGTAGGTAAAAAAATTAAAATTAAAATATTTGTATTTTACTTTTATTAATTTTATTTTTTTACCTACGTGATTTTACCGAAAACCTTAGAATATCATTGTCCACCGTTGATAGGAGTGCCGGGGGGACGCACTTCGCGCGCGCTTGATCAGAGACGCTTTGACTTCAGTCACAAAGATTGCTGACGGCAATCTTTGTGACTGATACGACGTTTTTACGGTTCTCTTGAAGTCAAAGCCAGATGCTGGCGATGAACTGTGAGATTGAACCTCGGAGGTCGGTCCGCATTTAAGCAACGGCTGGAGGGGGGCATCTAGCAGAGGGAAAAAAGCGATGGCGAGGTGTGTGTGTGTGTGGCGGCATCAGCGGCGTTGGGCGTGATGACCTCTTGACCTTTGCTGTCCCTAGCGTTGGCGCTGGCCAACTGGCAGGGGGGGGGGACCCTGACTGAGATGACGTAAGAGATGTTTCCAGCAAAGACGGAATAATAAGAGAAAGAGATGCACACCTGAAAGATATCTAATTTTTATTAACTACACGTTAATTAATTTGTTTTGCACTTCTATTTTTCATGATTTTGGGTCTTCTTGAGCTATTTCTTGTATCGGTTGCTGTTAGCGAGTAGCACCTATGAAGGCCGGCACGGTGTATGAGGAGGTGCGTGGCCGCTTCGATGCCCGGCCGCTTTTGACTCCGCAGTGGCGATGTTTACACACCGCACCAGGTACTCGTTTGAAGCTGAGTCGACCGAGGAGAGGTCCAGGACCAGTTTAGATAATTGTCACTGGTGTTTGCTGTGAGCCGGTATCGAACTCGGATCGCCGGGTTCGTAGTGCAGCGTGCCAACCGCTACACTACCACTCCCCATACATACAAATACAAGAGACAAAGATCCCCCGTATAGCCTTTAACAGACTTGAGACAAGTGCTGTTAGCGAGCACCTTTGAAGGCCGGCACAGCACACGAGGGGGTTGGGTGGCCAACACCACGCCCGACATACACCCAAACACAAAGACATACACACACACACGCACGTCCATGTGTCTGTGCTTAGCGTGGGAACGGACATTCATATATATATATTTTTTTATGTCGCCCTCCACAGAGTCTTTGGACAAATGGGAGCGTCTGACTGTGGCCGATTCCCTTGAGCCTGTGCAGTTTGAGGACGGCCAAAAGATCGTGGTGCAAGGAGAGCCGGGAGATGACTTCTTCATCATCACCGAGGTGAGGCGACAGTGGCGTGCGTCGGCGACTTTGAGATTTGAAGATGGCTCAAAGCTTCGCGATCGGCCGTAGGAAAAGTTTGCTGTCCTTCAGCCCGCACCTCCGATTATCGCGGTGCCAGAGGAGTTCAACCGGCATACATACACGCCGCACTTGCGATGCTCTGGCCGCGCGTGATATCGGAGTGGCTCACATTTGCGTTGGTTCCAAATCTATTTTTACGGGAAGTGTGTTTTCTCACGTGGATGGAGTACCGTTTATTTTCCGAATTTCACGATTGCGCCTGAAGAAAAAAAAAATGTTCACGTTAATGCATGCGAAGCCACACTTGCAAGCACGGCACATTTTTTTACCAGATATGGTCTACATGCCGCAGTGTTGACACAGCCAAAAATGGACACGTCAAATGAAAGCAAATATATGAAATTAACTTGCAGCGGGCCCCTACAGCCACAACTCCCAGGGCCCAGGCTGTTCAATATGAAAAGAAAGCAGAGTCTCAGTTTTGCTTTCAGGAACATTGTCAAAGTCCAAAGCGATTTCCTGCTCGATGAGCATTGAGTTAGCGGTGGAGACTCCCCATTCTTATGGTGGGGGTGAGCTTATCCATAGGACAATCGCCGTTGAATTCCCCACAAAGTAATGCTATTTTATCGACCCCGGAGAGAGAGATCATGGGCTGAGTCAACCCTCCCCCCCCCCCAAACTAGTATTTGAATTCGCAACCTTCCGTTAAAATAAACTCCCTTAAATTCCTCCGTGGTTTCACAATTCCATCGTCAACTCTGACAACCTCCTCACACTCTGATCTGCGTACTTTCATGAAACTTTGAGGGACTGCTTCATCCGTGAAGGCCTTCCTGGATCTCAAGACCCTTGTCCCGTGAACCATCCTGCATCCCAGGTCCTTGTTTGCGTAGATTAGTTACAAATACGAGTGGGCTTGGGCGGGACACGTCGCTAGACGGGGGTTAACTGCTGAGTACAGGGGCTTCTCCTACTTACGAGCATTCGACTTATGAACTTTCAGAGATACAAACAAACTTGTCCCTATGTCCAGTTGCCTGTTCAGACCGAGAATCGTAAGTTCAACTGCCGCGCAATAGATGGCGGTGGTGGCATCTACATCTGCAGAACATGAAGAACATCTGCAGAACATGAAGAACCATCTCAAACCTATATAACCTCTGGCTGCAGTAGCTCTCTTGCTTTATTTCTTCCTGTCTAAGCAGTCCGCCTGCTGTATTTTTTCACGTGAAGACGATTGCTTGCGTTGCGATCGAAACGTCGTGATTTTTATTATTATTTTTCTATCTACGTGACTTTACCGAAAGACCCAAAGAGTATGACGAACCAGTGACATCTGCATCTACAGGAGATTATATAACTTTTCAAGTCATTCCCCATGTTTAGTGGGCACGCCGTACAACATGTTTGGAATCGACAGGAGTAAAGTTGGACTTGCGAACAAATCGACTTACAAACAGAAACCTCTGGAATCGATCTCATTCGTAAGTAGTGGAGTCCCCGTATCAACGGAGCGGCAGCCAACGAATGGAAGGTGTCCAAGGGTAGTAATGCCCTTTGAGGAAGTGGAGTGATGAAATAAGCTATAATGTGCGGGTGCTATAAGGTGGAGATTGCTACATCGCAGGATCGTGAGAGGTGGTAACGGCTTGGGGTGGTCGGCCTTCTTCACCCAGCAATGGCTGGACCTTGGCAACTGATGGTATCCGTGTGTTAGGTTGTGGGAACGCACCAGAGGCTTTCCAGATCCACGAGGTGGTAGGCGAAAGCGTTCAAAAAGCCATCAGCAACCACCTGGGTGCACCACCGCCTACCGGCCACACACGCGGCCTCTGCGCAATCGACGACCATCTCCGTTGCAGTCAACCAAAACCCCCTTCGCCTTACAAACTGCGCGGCGGTAGGGGGGGGGGGGTAGGGGGGCGGCCGGTTGCAGGTGTGTGCCCACCACCTGATTACGCGGCTGGTGGTTGGTGCGGAGGTCAACAGGTGACGATGGGAGGGGGACGCTATCCCGCATGTCCTCGGGGCAAAGGTTTTCAAAGTTTTGTTTTTCGCCTAGATAAAGAGATACGCGTCGCGATAGGCCGTCAGATAAATAGATGGGTATCTTGATAGAGAGATAGATGTGACCTTTTCGCGTTATTGTTTGCGTTTGTCCACGGGAAAGCGCTGCCTTGCGTCAGCGATATATATGTATTGTAAAATAACGACGGCGCGTTTTTTGTTTTTTTACGTCCGTGCCGTGTGACCTGCGGAGCCCCCGTGGCGAGACAAGCGACGCCGCCGAAACGATGTTTTCCACCGCTCGTTGTTGTTGTCGTCGTCGTCATCCTAGCGGGCGGGCGGGTTTTTGTAAGCGTCGTTGATTCAATTCATCATCCCGCCGCGTTATAATGCGCTTCCGCACGGGCTGTCATCACGAGCTCCCTCCACCTCTTCCGATCTCCCGCCGCAGTCGCTGCCGTTGTTATTGTTAGATCCCCATTGTGCCAAGTCCCTGTCTGCTCTCTCTTCCCCGTCTGCTCCTAGGTCAGTTGTTCTCATACTTTTTCTTTTGCTATGATGCCCCCCCCCCTCCTTCCCCCCCCACCGCCCTCCCCCCCACCCCCCCCAGTTGAAGACCACTGGTCCCTGCGGCTTGCGCCCCACCACCACCACCCCACCGCTGCCCCCCCACCCCTTCCCCAAACTCCCTAAGCCCCACAAACACAACGAAGGCTACCCAGGCCACGATACAGAGAGATCACATGACCGTGCCTCAATTCGTCGACACGGTGTTAGTAAGGCACTTGTTTGACCTTGCGTCTCATTTTGTTTGGTGTTGGTACGGCAATTGTTGAATATTATGTATTGAGCGTGGCTTGTGTTAGTAAGGCATTTGCTACACCTTGTGTATCTGTGCCCTTTTGCCACCGCAGCGTGTGGCGTTCAAGTTCTCCGCGCACATTCCAAACTTCTCCTGCACGGTATCCATGCTAGGGCAGCCTGTGCCCCCCCTCCCTGAGAGGCTGAACCAGAGGTCGCAAACGGGTTTTGATTCCTTACCCGTACCCGTACCCGGCCGCACCAGGGTCGCAAACGGGCACCCGTACCCTACCCGATATACGGCTACCCGTACCCGGCCATGTATCGGGTAGGGTACGGGTATCGGGTACCCGATTGCGACCTAAGGGATGAAGCCATGTTGCAGGCGCGGGTGGGTTGATTCTAGGAACTTGAATTGTGAGAAGAGACAAGACGTTGGGAAATGAGTGACAAACGGTTACTCACCAGTGACTCACGGCCTACCCGTACCTGTACCCGGCCGCACCAGGGTCGCAAACGGGTACCCGTACCCGGCCGGGTACGGGTAGCCGGGTATCGGGTAGGGTACGGGTATCGGGTACCCGGTTGCGACCTCTGGGCTGAACCCATGTGTTGGAACCTGCTGTCCTAGGTCTTCCTCTTTCCCCTATCCACCCGTGTGTCGGTGTCCGTTGTTTCCAGGGGCAACCTCTTCGTGGTACCCATTCCCGAGTAGAAGCCCCGAGCCATTGTAAACTCGTCCTCACCCCGACCTCCTCATCGCCAGCTTTCATTGGCCGGTTGATTCGTAGAATTCGTGGCGCGGGCCCGTGCGTCACGAGCGCCGTCGGTTAGCGGCCTTCGTGAGAGTCCACGATTTGTTTCAATGAGAACGTTCGCAAGTTGGATTCGTCACTGCGCCCTCGCACGCGCCGTCCGATCACCGTCGCCTCCCGTGGTGCGTCGACGCCATTTCATCATTTGGCGAACGAAAATGCGGACTTGCTCCGTCGCGTGACACCGCCGAGAAATGTAAAAAATATTTTTTGTAAAATATATTTTTAGTTAAATATTTTTGACATTTTTTTATTAACCGCCGGAGCGGGGTGAACGTTGCGCGTGTTTGTTTTTCGCTCAACGGATGTCGTCCGCACGTAATGCACCAACACTTTCAATGGAGAATTGGGACAATTTCACAGGGGGCAGGAGGAGGGGGTGGGAGGAGAGGGGGCGAAGGTGAGGAGGAGAGTTTGGAGGCTTGGATTAAAGAGCTTGAACGTTGCGTCCGCAGTTGCCAGAGTACAAGGTCTCAGCTCTATTATTATTATTATTCAAAAGAGGTTTTGTGACATCAGCAGTTTCCAGGCCCAATCTGTAAGCACGGAAACGTGCATTTGACACCCAACGCGGACCTGCGCAGCAGACGTTTGCTTTTGCGAAATACGAACACGCCTGGTGTGTACACAGAAGTTACAAAATGTGTGCGCCGATCAAAGTTCCTTATTTTGAAACAGATAAATAAATAACTGCGCTGCGCGAAGAATCCACTTCCTGGTGACAGCGAAGGAAGAAATTATCGCTGTGCGTACGTCACGGTCGGTCGATCGCCGCGACGGAGAGATGTTAACTACCTCGCCTAGTATACAGGAGGTTGTGGGTTCGACCCTGATGCCTGTTGTGGGTTCGACCCTGATGCCTGTTGTTTATTTCGAGTTTGCATGTTTCTCTCTCTGTGGTCGCGTGGATTTCTCTCTGGGCCCTCCGAACTTTCCTCCACATTTAGAATCGACCTGCGTTTATAATATTCGACTGCTGTACATTTCTACGTGATGAGCCACTTCGTTGGGCTATCATTTGTGGCCAGCTCGCTTCTGTACAAGAGCCGTATAGCTCAGTGGTCTTTAACTGCTAAGATAACTTTTCTTTTAGTTTGGGTTGCGCGTGGTGGGGTAAAGTGTGGGTACTTCTTACCCTTTCGAAACGTCCGGCCGATGTGGAAGAGCGGCTCTCGGGTTGAGAAAGGATCGTTCCACCAGCAGTGGTGCAAGCAAGGAATTGCAGGGCTTGCACCTTTGCCTTCATTACAGCGGCACGTTTTCTACCCAGGGGAGCGGCGCAATTCTACACCAAGGGAAGCGAGAATCGGTGCAAAGCAGTGGCACCGGTTCGATGATCAGCGGCTTATC